ATTGTAAATAAAGTACATATCCAGGAACATATATATATATATATATATATATGTATATATATTATGTCATCATAACTGTAGACTCAGAAATCTGGCTTGTGGCTGGAAAGCAGGGCTAATGTAGTTTCTATTTGTGCATGTTCAGTTAGTCACATGGAAAGTAGGACAGTGGAGAACTTTGGGTAGGGTGTAATGCATTGCATCAAGAACATTCAGAATGAAAAGTCATGTGGTTGTTGATAGAGTGAGAACAATTCAACAAGGAAAGACTTACAGTATTTCAGAAGTAAGTACCTGTTTGGAATTAATTTTATTTCTTAAAATGTTAGAATTACTATAAATGAAATTGCAATATAATCAATTGAGAAATCTTTTGCTATTATGTATAATAGCAGGTAAATATTATTTAATATTTGCAATAGTTTACCCTTATAACTACATTTAAAGAATTCAATATTTTATGATGCCTGCATTTTTTTGATATTAGAAATGTTCACTTGTTAATCAATTAAAATAATTACTGTAATTGAAATAATTTTCTTATTGTCTCTTCTTACATTAAAATTTAGTATAGAGTTGACATCGGATGCCCGTATGGTGAACAAGGAGCTATTTTGTTTACGTTGCCATGACAACATGGGAATACCCATATGTGGAGCCTGTCATCGACCAATAGAAGAACGAGTTGTACATGCTTTGGGAAAACAATGGCATATTGAAGTATGTTGGTGATAATTTTAGTAGTGAAATTTTAATTTCCTTTTATCTTTCAGTATTTATCGTGAGAACACCATCAAAACGTCCATCTAACACTTTGTGTCATTTCTAACTTGTTGGGTAATATTCTAATTTTACTTAATACAACATGGTATTTGCATACAATATGTTAACTGTGTATGTTAAAGATGTTTTCAATGAGCCTTATATTGAATTATGAGTGTTTTAATGTTGAAATGTTGAATTTAAAGTTGTTAAATTAGGACTGATTTATGAACAAATTATTTTATTGTAACGTTACAAAGTAAATGTTATGAGAATAATTATTCACTTATATGTACATGTTCAAACTAAGGATCATACCCAATAAATATATATTCTAATAGTAATGTTTCCCGACAGATGGAATATTCAATTAATTGTTGTTAAAAAGATTAAAATGTTATGGTTAAGGTGATTTCTGTAGTCTAAGTATACCTGTTTTTAAATATTTACTAGTATGCTAAAGTTTGGTTTGGTTTTGAATTTCGTGCAAAGCTACTTGAGTTGTATCTGTGCTAGCTGTCCCTAATTTAACAATGATAGTCAAGAGGGAAGGCAGCTAGTCAGCACCACCCATTGTCAATTCTTGGATTACTCTTTTACCAAAAAATAGTGAGAATTACCACCATATTATAATGCCCCCACAGCTGAAAGGGCAAGCATGTTCGGTGACAGGGATTTGAACTCACATTCAGATTGTGAGTCGAGTGCCTTAACCACCAGGCAATAGGCTTAACCAATGTCACTTTACAATTTGGCCAAAGTTAAGTTATATTAGACTTTTCAATCTCCTATAGTTTCCTCTGAGCCAAAAACCAGATTTTTACACTTACTGGTTTTTATCTATGTATATTAAATTCATTTTAGCATATAAACATATGATAAATGTTATAGTGTCCATATCTGAAAATAGTGGTTGGCTCTGTGCCACAAACTGATCATTAAGCCTTAGTAGCAGAACATTACAATCAAACTTTTCTGATTATAGTTAACATTTAATTTGTTTAATATTCTATGTTTACTTTTTTATGTGAAAATTGTACTTATTTATTTCATAAAGTGAAAAGAATATACATTAAATATTAAAAATTAAGTCCATGAAATGATCCTAAGGCTCAAGCACTTTTGAAGAGTGATCCATATGTTTCATCAGTAGCATGAAAGATGAAAATTAAAGTATGTAATGGAAATTTAAGATTTATTCATAACATGAAAAGTTAGTTAACATGGTGGGAAAAACTGATTAATCATTGAATGGGTGTGTAGTGTGACAAGAAAAAGGTACAAGAAATAAGCCAAGTAAAACAAGATGTTGAAGAACATGAAGTAGTGTTGACTGAAAGAAATTACAATAACCAAGATCAAGATACCAAACTGGATTATAACAATAAAATGGAAACAGTAATCATAATATTTCAAGTTCAGAGTAAACATAGTACATGTCTTTAACTCCTTAAACCAAAGTAGGTGCTTCCAGCATCTGGCCGAAAATCCCAATTTAACCATTGGATGGTGAAAGCGTCTGATAACATTTATGTCTCTTTGGCTGAAAAACTAATCCAAAACATGTTATTATTTACCTTTTGTAAACAGACTGGACATTTTCTAAGGTATGGTGATAATTAGGACATCATGAAAATAATTCTGGCAGAATGCTAAAATACATTATGGGTTTAAAGAGTTAAGCTCACAAAACTGAAATGAATTTTATAGTAGAATGATAGTTTTTAAAATATGATAATCAATACTGTTTCTTAAAAGTTATATAGTAAGTACTTTCATAAAATATTTTGAAGTCTTAAGAACAATTAATAGTTGGGTTATTTATAGAAAATTATTATTTCGTCTATATTTTATAGTAAAAAAATTTCAATGAGAATATCTTTTAAACTTGGTTAAGAAAAGATGCATTATCATAGTAAGAAAAATATTTTAACAGATGTAGTTAAATTGTGCTATTAGATAGCAATACATCATTTCTGGGACTATAAAAGTGTGATGTCTCTTTTTTTTTCTGTTTGTTTCAAAGGTATTTATAAAGGTGAATATTTATAAAAAATATCTGTAGGTCTAATAACTCCAGCTAGAAATTCTATGGTAGGTCGTATGTTGCATTTGTTAAACAACAATTTCAACAATGTTTCAAATTATACATGTACTTCAAGTTCTTGTGATAGATGAATACCCTTTCTTATGTTAAAATAAGGTGAACTAGCTAAGGGTAGTAGTATTTGAGGACATTTTTAGCACAGTTTTATATCTCTGTTTGAGTAGTATAGCTTCCAAACTATTAGAGTGAAAGATATACAAAATTGCCACTATTAAAGTTATTATGCTGCTTTTTGTCAAATGTAGAGTATAAACATTCTAACATATTGTTACGTCTCTGTATGCTTGTTTGTTAATTTTTCTACGATAAAAGTCCTTTCTTAAATAAAACTTGTTTATTCTTCCTCAATACAACTTTGTAATACACTTAATTTTCACAGTTACACACACTATAGTTCACAACAATTCACTCACTTTCTACCGCGCTTGTTTCAATTGTCCGTCTTCGCTTGTCAGCAATTATAGTTCCGATCTCTGTATCAGCTATCTTCGGTTCCTGCCGACCGTAACCGCTGTCCTTGGTTCCACACTCTCTCTCTTTCTCTCTGCCCTTTTTTCGTCTCTCTATCTAGCACACTTATATACGATAATACCACCTGTTCTAGAACTTTCTAGGCACTCAACATGTGCTACCAGCATCACTTGACTTCCGCTGTCGTAACACACTAACGTTTATTGCGATTCTTCTAGAATACTCGTCGCGTGACCCCCGCTGTCGTAACACACTAACGTTTATTGCGATTCTTCTAGAATACTCGTCGCGTGACCCCCGCTGTCGTAACAATATCTTCCAAAGTTATCAATAGCTGTTTTAAACTGTGAAATAATTGGTGCTTGTTTCAAAGATTATTTCTCAAACTTAATGCTCAATGAATATATTATTTTAAAACCTTTGTAACTTTATTCTTGGAAATCAGAAGCTTTATTAGTGTATGACAAATTAAGGATATTAATAAATTTCGTTAAATATCACTATTGATACAAAACAGCCTTTGATAATTGCAAAGAAATAAAGGAAAAATAGTGAGAAAAGTGTTTATTATTAACTGGTATTAGACAAGATATCATAATAAATTTGTACTGACTATAGATTGATATTAAATACAATTTTGTAAATTCTGGGAGCAAAAAAAACTATTTTTATTCATTGTTTAGCTTATTAATTGGTGAAGTTAAAGAATTATATTAATAGCAAGCTATAAAAATTTTCGAATTATATTTGTTAACCAATTATTTCCCTGCTTTATTGCTCTCTAAATCCATTTGGTGTGTGTGGGCTGTTTGTATGTTGACATATTTCTCAATAATCTTATATTCTACAGTTACTATAACTTACTAGATAAATTCTGGCCATTATTAAATGCTATTTACACATTTTTTTTTAAGTGAAATGAAATGAAACAAAAGTTATGTGTATTGCCTAAACTAAATGTGTGTGTGTATGTATATACATGTACATGCTTTGGACAACAATGCCAAAATTTTGAAAAGATTTTCAATACCATGGCTGATTAAAGAAAAATACATTGAAAAGTGTTAGTGATACATCACAAGATTTAATTGTTAACTGTTTTGAGTCAGTATTATACCAAGAACAGTATGTTAAGTGAACTTCTAGTGATACATTCTTGCCATTCTTGATCATAAGATCAACTTATTTTGCATAATCTTCATCACTTTTTAATGGTAAAAAAATCAGTAAGGTATTTTAAGGTATTAAAAAGCATAATTATAGTCTTTTCTCTGATTTTTAGCATTTTGTATGTGCCAAGTGTGAGAAACCCTTTCTAGGACACCGTCACTATGAAAAAAGAGGAGTTGCGTATTGTGAAACTCATTACCATCAACTGTTTGGAAATCTTTGTTCTTTTTGCAATAGTGTAATAGTTGGAGATTGTAAGTAAAGTTTGTATTGCATATTTTTTAAGAAAACTATTTTATGTACTTTTGGCATTAATATAGATCCCTGTAAATATGAAAAAAGCAAAACACATTTTCCTCTGGATAAATTACATAGTCAACAAAATTAAACAAAAATGAAACTTTTCTTGTTACGATGGTAAAAGAAACAGAGAGAATATAGCTAATTTTTAGGTAATGATTGTACTGTTTAGAAATTATCATGTTACAGTGTTTGTAATATATACGATGAAGCATCACATTGTGGTATGTGTTAGAAAATGTCTGTGATTAATATAACATAGTTATGATTATTTGTTTTGGATAAATATTATAATTAATATCCTGTTGTTAAACGTTATATTGTTATGTGCTTTGATTGTACTGAATTATAGGAATAAAATTAACATAGACTACAGTTTCATATTCACATGTATATTTATCTTAGAGCTTTTGAATTCTTGTTTTAAACTTTTTTACATTCAGGATGTATACAGAATATTTTTGCCTTGAGAAAATTTTAACTTAATGATTGTATTCTTATAGATTCATGTGCTCTTATTGAAAGTTTAAACTTAATGATTGTATTCTTATAGATTCATGTGCTCTTATTGAAAGTTTAAACTTAATGATTGTAGTCTTACAGATTCATATGCTCCTAGGGAAAGTTTAAACTTAATGTTTGTATTCTTATAGATACATGTATTTCTAGGAAAAATATAAACCTAATGCTTGCATTCTTATAGATACATGTATGTGCACCTAGGGATATAATAAAATCAATGTTTGCATTTTTATAGATTCATGTGCTGCTATCAAAAGTTTAAACTTAAGGTTTTTATTTTTATCGATTGGTTTTCAATTTATTATTATTATGATAAAAATATTTAACTTTTTTGTCAAGCTGTGTATGAAACGTTTAACACAAATTTGTAGTTAACACAGGTATCTATCAGTAAACATTGTGAATTTTATCAAGGTATTTCTTCTTTTATAATTTGGGCAAAAATTCTTTAACATGTAAAATATGTCATAATTTTCACGAAAGCTTAACCTAGCAGTGCATTTCCAATTGAGTGAATAAGGTGTAGCACTATTCTGATCAGTTTGTTATTTTCTGTTCTGTATTTAGCAATAAAAATTTTCCAAAAAGCCTGGTGTGTTAACCACTTTTCATGTTCAGGTTGTGACAGGAAGTTCCCTAGCAAGTAGGTATTCTTTGTTCTCTTATTGTAGATTTTGTTTGTAATTTTCTTGAAGAAATTGTTATCCACATACAAAGAGCCAAAAAAAATTTATTTTTGAGATAAAAAGTAAGAAAAGAAATTTCTTATATATATCATCTACATTTGTCTGAAAAAGTTTCAACTAATGAGTTTTGACATTTGTATTATGAAATGTAAAATGTTTGATATATTTTACTTTTGATTGAAAAGAAATATCAAAAATATTGGAAATCAGTTTGTTGAATGTACTTTTTATTACTTTATCTGATTTAGTTTCAAAATTCAGCTTTTTTATTTATTACAGTCAAAACAATTATTACACATTACAAGTTATAATAATGTAAGTTTATTTGCATTCAGAGTTTTTATTTTTGTGTTAAATATTATTCATCTTAATGAAGTCATGTTTGTAATCAGTAGTATAAACACAAATTTTCTGTGTTTTTCTTTGTTGTAGTTCAACTGCAGCATTGAAACCATATTCTGTTAATAACTTATATTTCTGATACAATATTTTATCTCCTCTCACAAATGGCTTTTCTCGACTTATACTGTCCCATATACGTGGAAATTTCACTCGCCACTAACCTTGATACTCCCACCTTCCCTCACATGTATTCATGTGAGACATCTGCATGTAGCAACCCTCCACCAACAGGATTGCACAAGTCATTAGCACCCTCTCTTCCATACAGACTGTAATCACTTATCGAATAGCAGTCCTACTGTTAGGACATGTTTTTGCTGGAGCTTTCCTACTGATTGTATCTTTATTATACATCACATCGATTAATCGTGATTTTGTTTTTTCTACACTAGTTCATTATATTTTTCACTCATGTTTTGAGTGTTATTCTAAACACATATTTCTTTTCCATTTTTTCAAATCTTTTTTTTTTTTCAACTTTTGACTTGCACTTGGAGCTTCATATGGTGTCAGGGCAAGCTTTTTCTGCTGAGGAAGTAACAGCTCTGTCCAAAGGCAGTTGGTTACCATTATGCAGTCTTCTGGGTTGTTGGATGATTGTTCTCTATTATTCTCCATGTGAAATTATGCCTGAACACGTGGATGTGAATTAAGACAGCCTGTTCTCTCCTCTTGCCTGTGCCTCACTGTTGTGTTTCATTTCAGGGAAGATGTCCAGGCTTTCTTCTCCATTTGTCGACTTAATATTTCAGGTATGATGTATTTTATCTTTGGTTCCTGTTTCCTTTGATTCCTCACCTGCCCTTCTCAGTGTCTCACTAATGGGCTAGTATCTAATGTTTCAACTCCCTCATTGGATTTTGGAGCTCATGCGGGTTGTTTTCAATACCATTTTCATTTGGGGGTTGGTATGCCGTGACCCCACATACTTTGGCATAGCACCATTCTGCCTTTCCATCCCTAGCTTGTCCTTTTGGGGTTTTAGACCCCTATACTTTGGTGATTTTTTTCCAGCCTTCCTTTTCCTGTTTTTCGTCATGGTATGCCTCTTCTCATCTGCCCTTTCCTTGCTAACATGGCTCCTCTGTTGTTGGGGCCTTTTTGGGGTCAGACCATGTTTTTTTCGCAGGTTTTTTTTGCCTCTTTTCTCATTGTGTGTTTGTGCATGGCTTCTTTTCTGTGCCAAGAGGTTTTTGGGGGCGTTCCCAACTCTTTGTTACCCTGAGTTGCCATTGTTGTATATCTTCCCTTCCTCATCGGTCTCCTGTTTGTCCCAACCACTTCCTGAACATGTTACTGTGTCTTGCCCTCCTCCTTCCTCTCCTTTCAGGTTCCAGCCTCTTGTATTTCTGTGGTTCACTGTCAGTAATTGTGACACCCTATAGGGGAACTGAGAGTCTTGGAGACTACTAGTAGGTTTGGGTCCTGTGGGGATCAGGCCATTCTGCTTTGCCCACTTCTGGTGGTCCTTCAACATGGACAATTGGTTGTTCAGGTTATTTTATAAACAATGGGATTTCACTACTAGTCTATGGAAGACTACAGCAGATGGTTTGGTGGTCTCCCTTTACCTTCTCATCTCCCATACATCCTGCCTTCACTTTCGTTTAGTCCATTGGGGTTGTATTTTTTTGTTGCGGACTCACCTCAGCTCCCGATGTTTTTTGTCAGGAGGTCTGTGCATTTGCATGTCTTCATCCTTCCTAGGACCTTGTTTTTCACCATTACAAAAATGACTGGCTACTTCTAGCTCCCTTGCAGACCATCTCAGCCCTTCATACTCAATTTCTTCTAAGAGAAGCTGCGTGGGTTGGTTGGTGGGGATGGAGATATCTTACCTCACCACACGCAATACCTCACTTATCATGGAGTATTGTTAAATTCCCTCATCAGTTGGACCCAACCTTCTCCCTTTACTTTCAGAGTTATGGAGCTACTGGTTATCAACCTATCCTCCCCTCCTTTTCTCACTGCTCCAGAGATTCTGTCTCTTTTGTTTGTGGGTTATGGAGCTACTGGTTCTCAATCTATCCTTCCCTCCTTCTCCCACTGCTCTAGAGATTCTATCTCTTTTGGCAATGTGGGCTTCTCTGGAAGCCGTCGTCCCTCTTGGTCATGCTCAAATGTGTCGCCTTTAGTGGGCTTTGATGGACTGATGCAGACTCGTTTGGAATCCCTTGGATGTCCCTCTCCTCCTTTCTTTCAGACCATCTTCACCTGTTAGTTGGATAAAGACAACACCACTGTTGGTGTTTCTCTTCTTCCTCTCTGATTGAAATCACCTTTGTACAGATGCTTCTCTTTCCAGTTGGGGTGCTTATCTGGATGCTTGGGAGGTTTTGGGGCAATGGACTCTCTCAGAGTCCTCTCTTCATATCAATGTCTTGAAGCTCCTCACCATTCATCAGGTTTTGGTTCATTTCCTTTATACCTTTAGGGATGATTGGTGATGGTGCATTATGACAACTCGACAGTGGTCTTGTACATCTTCAGACAAGGGCACACTCGATAAAGAGATCTCTGTTTTTATGTTGGACCTTCTGTATTGAGCCCACAGCCATCAAATTCTGGGTGTGCTGAATCTTTTTTGTGGATCGTTTATCGTGTCCCAACAGGATTCTCCCTACAGAGTGGTCACTGGGCCTAGAGGTGTTTTAGGGCTATGCACCAAGTGAGGGGTTCCATTCATCTCAATTCTCAGCTCCAAAGGGTTTGGTCTCCTGTTTCACATCCTTTAACTGAAGCACTGAATACTGTCAGTCAAGATTGGCTGGGTTTATACCTGCATGCTTACCCTTCCCTTCATCTGGTTTTCTGGATCCTTTTTGTCATCCAGACCACTCTGTGTCAAGTTCTGGCTCCATATTGGCTGGCTCAGCCATGATTTTCCCTTCTGCACTGACTATTGGTGTCACCTCCCCTTTCCCCCACCCCTTCATCAGCCCCAGTCCGATGTGAGTCATCCATCCATTCCCACACTCAGACGTCATGCATGGCTTTTGCAGTATGTGTGGCATCCTTGAATTCCCATTCTGTATGTCCTTCCTCCATGGCAATGTACTAAGAAAAGTGGTTCATGTACTGTCGTTGGTCCATATGTCATGGTTATCCAAGATCCCATCTGACCCTTCCCCACATTCTTTTCTGTCTAGCCTGGATAGTTAACAGGGGCATTTGGGTCTTCTCTGTTATGGGCTATTATGCAACTTTGTTGGCCATATTTCATTTTACATGTTATGCCTGTGTCTTCAGTTCAACAGTCCTACCCCTTTTGTTCCATTTTCTCTGCATCACCCACCCTCCATGCCCTGCCTCTCTCCCAGATTGTAACCTCAATATCATCCTTCATGCCCTTACCCTTCCTCCTTTTGAACCCTTTCAACATGTTCTTTATATCACCTCTCCTTGAAAACCTCTTTAATGCCTCTTGTTGGCATGCCAACATCATCATTTGGATGTGTCTGCTATTGATGTCCACTGCACCTTGTTTCACAGTTCCTGTGTGGTCCTTTTGCATGATAATTTTTTTTCTGCCCAAAACTTCATCCGCTTGGAAGGATGGTTCTGCCTTCACACCTATCTCCCTTCCATGTCACACCTTTATGACTGTTCCGATCCTGATCACCTCCTATGTCAGGTCAGGGCTCTCTGCTGTTACATGGCATGCAATGATTCCTTCCGTGGTTTTCTCATTATCCTTATGGGTTGGATTCCCCAGTTGATTCACCTGGCTCATTCTTTTGTTTCACCTGATAATTGTTTTCTTTTCTTTATATCTTCCCATCATACTTATCACCTTCCCATATCCCTGGCTGCTCATTTCTAACATCTGTTGGAGGATGTCATTAGTGTTGGTATATGTACCACTCTCCATATTTTTACTGCTCTTTATCTTCACTACGTAGCTGTTTCTTCTTGTATGGGGTTTCATCTTCTTTCCATCACAATTTTGCACTCAACAATGTTTCTTTGAGTGGGTAAGTCCTTTTTCTTCAATTTCTTTTTTTGCAGAATCTTTCTCTCATAGTTGGATCTCACTCAGTGGTGAGTGTTGCTTGACCAGGAATACTTATTCTGAAATCCACACTGTATGACCTGTGTGTAATATTGCCCACCATTGAGATGGGGTGGTTCACAAGACCGCTTCTAGGTATGCCTTATGGTATTTTACTTCATAAAGAGGTTTGTCCCAGACTGTACACATATGGATTAATATGAGTAAAGCAGACAGAGATTACTGCTCATCCCAGATGATCCATATCTTGAAGGTCACAAGATCAGGCTGCTTTTCAAAATAAGGTATCATAGTCACCAATTGCACTATCTCTGGTGCAGTGTTCCTCCAGACTCTCCAACATACTGCCCCCCTCCCTTATGGGAATCCTTGCCACTGGGGTAGTAGACTTTGGAGGTTTCCACCTGAGTGTGCTCAATTCCACTCAGTTGCTAGTAGGGCAGTGGTGTTCTGTCAGTGTAGATGTCATCCTACTACAGACCTGATGTACACTTACAAATGCCATCAGGTGTTGGATGATGCATTCTGCCAACATAAAGTTCTCATCTCTGGCTGAAGCACCCTCTTTCCTACCATTATCCAGATGTTGTAATGATCCTCACATGTGTTGCTGGGTGTCCTCCTCCTACCATGGACTGGTTGATACATTCCCATTGCTGCATGGTGATAGATTGGAGATGCACCCCCCACTTTGCTGTCCAACCTCCTACTATCCCCTGGATGCTGGTTCCCAGTCGACATGGTGATGGTCAGGTCTGATGTGCACATACATGATTAAACTGGGGAGATCTCTTTATTGTTTCCCCCCTTATTGCAACACAACAATTTCATGTGGGCAAAGAGTATATCTAGCTCAGAAGTGGTGCGGTCTCCTACAGGGGTGTTGTCTTCCTTTGGGTTTCTAAAAGAGGTTAATTTTCTCATTGGACCCTCCACCAATTCAATGTTGGATTCTAGTTATCTGCGAGAGGAGGTAAGATATCGTTTGAAAATTTACTGGGGCCGTGTATAAATGATAAACTATATTGTGTAATTTCTCTCCTGATTATTAAGATATAAAATCACTTTTTTTGTTAAGTTTCCTGTTTTCTGACTTCTGGATAGGTTTTCTTTGCATTATACAACATTCAAAATTGTTTTATTTTACAGATCAAGAATCTTCGAGTTTGATTTGAAGCCTCTGTGTAAAAAGTGCTTTGAAAAATTTCCTGCAGAATTAAAGAAGCGTCTGAAAAAACAGTATGAACAAAACTTGCATGAAAAGTAAAACAAAACTGAAAGGAATTGTACATGCTCTTCATATTTGTTTTTAATACGAGTTTATTCAAATTAAAGAATAGTGTTTGTTTTCTGCTATGTGGATAAATCTGATTTTACCAATGGTTTGTTATTGTATTTATGAAACTTATTGGTTGGCTGCAAATTTGATTTTAATAATTCAGACTTGACACCAATAATTTTTTAAACCGACATTTCAATTATCATCCAGTTTTTGTTGTTTATGTTTGTGTCTTGCTAATACTTTAGCATGAACTATACTGAAAAAACATTCCTAATATGGAGAATTTTCTGCTTGAGTAGTTCTAGCAAATGAAGAAACATTTTAAATTTATATTGAACTGATTTTTTGACATTTGTGTAGGTGCAATTTATTTGCTTTAATGGTTGATTTAGCTGATAGCTTTTATAACTGCTTAATTAGGTATAGAATGTTTGTGTTTTGTTTAAACAATATTTTTAGGTGCATTTAAAGTTTTGCTTATTTCCAAGTTTCAGTTTTAAAAGTTATTTTTTATTAATCTTATGGTTTCTCAGCAGTATCACAAAGTCTTTTTATTATCTATGAAAATATGGGATATTTCATGAACATTTTAATTGTTTTGCAATTAGAATTTATTTTTATAACTAAGTTTTCTAATTTTTTTAGAGCAGCAGTTTTCAAAATTTTTACTTTACAGACTAGCTGAATTTTTTTTGTCTCGTCATACCACAATTTGTTCTATACACTATGCTGCTGCTTTCTTTCCATAATTATGCAACCTATGGACTACAGATTGAGAACTGCTGTTTTAGAGAATAAAGTGATTTTTTTTTGGGTTTACTGCTTGTAAGACTATCTTATTCTCCATGTTCTACATTCACTTTTTGGGTAATTTTAGGGGTATACGTAAAAATGCTGTTTTAGTAAGTTATTGATTCTTAGTGAAGTGTATGCTGTTTTATCAAAGACCAAATGCATATATATTTTGCTTTGTATTTTTTTAAGTATTACTAACAGTTTTCACTGTATTTGTGCATTATGTAAGTTTTGGAAAATTTTATTGTCAGGGCATTTTTCTTTACTAATTAATGTGAATTTTGTGTTCCAGTTATTTTGAGAATTTGTAAAAAAAAGTGATTGGATTCTACTATATAAATTTGACCTTATGAATAGCTTTTTTCATATTTTTCTTTCATTTTTACTTGTCTTTCATGTAGTGTTATGCTGTTACCAGTGAGGTTTGATTGATATCATCATTTCTTTTTCATAGTCCTTGGTTGTGGAAGAATAGTGTCTAAAAACAAAAATTTTAACAGTTTTCTGTTGCTGGCAGTTGATGAGGAAAATGTATATTTAACCCTTTCAAGGAGAAACTATGTAAAATTTATCATAATATTGTTGATGCTTTAATAAATATAGCAATATGTAATAAGTGTTTTCACTTGATTATATCAATTTATGAATAAAATAAAGAATTAATAATTTGTAAATTGAAACTTTCTTTTCTAAATTCTCATTAGAGTATTTCACTGAATGCAAATTTTCTTAATCATTTTACTGATGATGTTGAGAGAAAGTGGCCATATTAAGCTGACATCTAAAATTTAGAATTTCCTTATCTGTAAACATAAAAAACAAGAAATAATTGTATATGTCAAGGAACTGAAAACTGCATGGCATTTAGAAAAAGAATGTCTAGATATAACTAGGATACCAGACAGGTTTGTTAGCAGATTGGAAGGTGAATATTTAACATTAAGAAATTAACTTAATGATAATAAAATTGGTTGAGAATCTATATATTTATGTTCACTTTTACGGTTTATTTATGTAAATGTCATTTACATAATTAGAAAGCCTATATGATGTGCAAAGTTTTAGCCTTATTTTAGATATTTTTATCAGTTAAGAAATGAAAAATATATGTTACTTCACACAAACATTTTGTAGTTACCTTGCTGCTCAGAGCTTGGTGTAACCTAGTGGTTAGTATGCTGGAATGCAGATCAGGAGGTCAAAGATTTGAGCCATTATGTTGCTGATGAACACATTCTTATCTCTCAGCTGTGGACATTATAACTGTGGTAGTCAATCTTATTTTACTTTCACTCATACGTTTTTATACTTATTGATTAGATAAAAGTAGCCATATAAATGGTGGATACTGCTGACTGGATTCCTCCCTCTGGTAAACAGGACAAAATTAGGTATGGATATGCCTGCACCTTAGAAGTATCTGACCTGATAAAGCCCATACATTATTGGAAATACCAATATCAATCAGTCTTGCTTCTTTCTTTTATTCTTGTGGTTTAAAAATATAAAATTATGAAATTTTTTTTATTGAAAATAGTTTTACACAAATCAGAATGAAACTATGTATATGATATTGTTTATAATAGTCTACAATGAAATACTTGCTTTAAGTTTGGTGATATAGTGTAGCCTAATTTATAGAAATGCAAACAAAAAAAGCTTTTAAACAAGCTTGAATTGCACATTTATTAGTCAGTACATGTAATATTTATTATAAGTTCATACTTTTCCCTTGAAATTGTTTTTCATTTTTCATCCATTTGCAGTAAAATATTTTAAGATATCAAGATAGGATAATATATTCAAAATGTTTAACTCAAATATAATAAAGTAAGTTATAGATTTTAAATATCTTTAAAAAAGAAAACAGTTCCAATCCACTGTGACAGTATCATTAAAAAATTTCAATTTCACTTTCAATTCTAAACTAAATAAAATTTAAAAAGAAACCTAGTAAATATTTTCTTTAACTGAAGTTTAGTACATAATTTTTGTTACTTGTATTATGGTTGTTTATGGAATAGCTGAGAGTTATGAAAGTAAAGGTGCATGGAATATATATCCACTGACATGCAGGATAACAAGTTTTGCCACATTATTTTGTCTATTGTGCAAGTAGTTTTTTTTTCATGTCATTCATTCTGTTGTTAGAAAAAGATGTAGGTAAAAACACAAGTTCCTGAAACTTTCTGAACTGTGGATATCTAGCTAGCACATAAACACAAGCATTTAGATATGCAAGTTTCTAAACCTCAAACTAAAACTATATATGCAAATATACACATCCCTTTAATTCACAAACCCTCAGTAACAAACATATTTGTCTACAGTTAGAACTCACCAAAGTTTGAGTGCTAACTATAGAAAGAATACATAACATAATAAAGATTACAAAAATCTTAAAACTTATATATATATTTATCTGTGTCCCCTTATATGTGACAAACTGCTGGACCTACTTTAACCAAAGATGACATGCACCCTTACCCCTCCCTCTCACAAAATGAAATAGGGAGATTGGCATTTATATTTCACCCCCAGTACTACAGCTAATATATTGTTACATCTCTGGTCATTTGTTAATTTTCCACAGAAATTCTTTCCGAAGAACTTCAGCGATACAAGTCCTTTCTTAAATAAAAATGGTTTATTCTTTCTCATTCCAACTTTGCAGTACACTTAATTTCCACAGTCACTTTAACTTAAGCACACGCTATAATTCACAACGATTCACGCACTTTACTTACGGCTTGACTCGATTATCCGTCTCTATATCTCCCTATCTGCAATTGTTCCTCCACTTTATTTGCCGGCTTATATACTAACGTAGAAGGTGTGTAGAAAAGACTAGAATTGCCATGAAGAGACATGATCCTTCTAGAAACTCATGACGTGTTACCAGTGTCACGTGACTTCCATTGTCGTAACACTCCCCTTCCTTAGTATTGTTACTAATACTACAATAGCCACTTACAATAGTACAATAGCCACTTACATTAAACTAATAGATAATTAACAATAGCTTAATTAAATGTACATAATTTACAAACACAAAATTAAAATTTAACAAAGTCCCTTAATTTTACGGGACGCATCTTCTTCCGTACTGGTCTCCGTCTCATTGGAAAGCATGTTGATGACATAAAAATTACCTGAAAGGTTTTCTGGATGTATTCAATGAAAGTTTTTGAATTGTTGACACAATATTTCTTGGTTATCAATAGTGGGTCGTGTACTTTATGATAACAATAAGAGTATGGCACTGAATATAGATCCGAGATTAAATTATTTGTGAATTTGGGGTATTTCATAAAATGTGGTAGTTTGCTTCTGTTAGTTAGATGGGTTTTAAAGTTTTCTTTCTTGGTAAGTTTATTTCTTATCCTATTTTCTCTATTGTTTTTTTTTTTTTTAGTTTCTGCATGAGCCATTTTGAATGGTGGTTTGTCATAGTCTTTTAAAACAGGTCCCATCTTTTCTGTCTTCTATATACATATATTCAAAGTTATCTAAACAATGAGGGTAATATACATATTTAATAAAGTGAGTAACATGCACATTTAATTTGGCAGATATATCCTGTAGTTTTTTACTTTAGTACATGATACATCATATTCAGCATGTTGAAACATATGGCACTGTCTCTTTAAGCAAACAAAAAAAAAACATATCTAACTATAAGAGACGTGTCTATAACAGACATTTTATTATGGTGTGTTGCTTAATTTATGTCTATTATAAATATATCCCAACTGAAGAGGTAGAACAAGGGGTTCATGATAATGATGTGAATAGAAGAGAAATTATAGATTTCAAACATTAATGGTTTTTCAGTTTTGAAAACTGAGTATGTATCACCATTCGTGGTTGTAATTAGGTGTAAACAAGCAAAAGCAACTTACATTTACTACTATATCCTCTATATGTTTTAAAAATAATTTTCAAAATTGAGCTTTCTGGTTTCTTAACACTATTTATTATAGGATTAAGTTTTTAGTACAAATAACAAGTAACAAGTAATCCAGAGTTCTGGAAAAGCTAACTTTTAAAACTTTTGTAGAAAGTATACTTTAACGACTGTTATTTCTCTATATGTGTATATACATATTCTTAATAAGGACGAATTTAGGTTCTGCCAATTTCTATTAATATAACATTTAAGAAAACAGATTCATGCTATATTTTTTGTTGATTTAAAGTTGTATCATACACTTTATATTATACAAAAACGTAGAACAAGATCATCAGAATAGGAAAATTAACTTGGTGCTTTATATCAATATCAGTAGATTATCTTTCAATTTACCATTGGGTATTTGAAATAGATAATGTTGTCTGATTGTTTGGCGATGTTATCACTCTTTGCCCATCTCAGGCATGATAAGTTTAGAATTAGGATGCTTCCTTGTTCCGTAATATCCATTCATCTGTTGCTGAGTCTATTATGTTGAAGTGTTCGATGTTAGGCTTCTTGCTATAGTCTTTGCTTAGATGTTTGTAAATTCCAGAGTTACTTGAAGGGCTGTTTTGCACATGCTCCTACAGATTGGGACATTGACAACAAACACTAACACCACTGCATCTCAAACTGTGATAAACTTATCATGCCTGAGATGGACAGAGTGAAAACTTTGTCTAACAATCAGACATCAATACTAGTGGGTAGTTTAATTTTGCAGTAATTTTTTCTTAAAGATTTTAATCTGTAACAAATTGTGTTTTAAAGCAGTGTTTTGTATGCTTCTATAGGAACAAATGATCCATGTCTGTTATATTTAATCACTTTTTAGACACTTCTCTTGAGTGTCAGAAAAAACAGTATGTAATAGTAGCTAATTCAAATGGATACAATTTGTCAAGTATTAGCATGTTACCCTGAGTAAATCAGGGATCAAAATATTACATTCCAGCACTGTTGAGGAATTTAACTTTGCTTGAAGAATTTCATCTTTTTAATTGGCTTTGCCAATCGGGAATGCATGGTACATCCATAAAAAAAAAAAAAATTTAATAAAGAAATGCAACTTTACGTGAGGGAATGTAATCTTCCTGATAGCTTAAGGGATCCCTTGAGTGAATGTAATTTTATTTTCATTATTTCTATCCCTGTAAATCTATGTATTGTAAAATTCAAGAAAAACTGAAGACTGTCTAATCAGTTAAATGTGAAGTAGTTTTGAATGATGCAAATTTTTTTCGGCAAATACTAATTTAGTTAGAAAGGTCAACATCTGCAACATGTCTCCACCCATTCACCTCAGAATACAGTAGATCTCAAGAGAGAATGATATTCATAGCAGAGGAAGGGGATATAAACTACTACATATATATACTTCAGAGAGATACACTTAAAGTATCAACTAAAAATCTCTGTGAGAAGGATGTATTGGAGCATATTAAATTTTGATCTTAAAATACATAGGACAGTCAGTGTGTGCATAAATAATTTATTCACAATGACAAAAACTTGTGGTAAATAAGCAAAAGTTAAGGTAACTTGTGTAGCTCTCCACTTTCATAAGTGAAACTTAAAATGATTCAGTTACAATGTGTGTGTGTGTGTGTGTGTGTGTATATATATACACACACATGCATACAGACAACTTATCAGTAGTAAACACACCAAAAATAAATTATTTGTGCCACAAAAGCATGCCTGAGCTCTTCACACAAAGGTAACAGTTAAAATTTACATGTTCAAGATATTTTATTGAGTATTGTAAGAGTATACAAGAGCTGTAGAGAATAAACAAAAACTTTTCTTTTGTCAAAGTAATATGATGAACAGTAGAGAAATGTATGTCTCCACAATAGTTATAGGGTTAATTTGGATAAAGATCAATTTTTTTGTCATGTTTTTACAGGAAGCAAAACATGAAAAACTTTTTTAGCTACCACTGTCATTTTTATTTACACTGGTTGCAAGCATTAGTAATACAAATTATTAGTACTCTTCTATTGACTGTACTGATTTGAGTAAGTATTCGATCCACCAACTGATGCAGAAGTCCTGATCAAACAAAAACACAAAAGTTTTTGCTAATTTTACGATGGGAGAAATAATGTATTATACGAAATGGTGTATTGCAGTTAATGCTATGTATCAGGAGAATTGAGGAGCATTTGATCAATGTGCATAGCAAAATGCAATACAACTTCCAACCCTACAGTTTATTACGATCATTAAATCTTGTTCTCTTCATGAAAGACCATGTCTTTATTTTGGCATTAAATTTGTGTGTGTGTGTGTAGAATAGTTTAAGATTACTTCATAAATATATGCTATAAAAATCATGATTTAGAAAACATGTTTAAATGTTTTATGGAAACCATTTGGTCAAGCAACTGATCACTGTCCTTTTTTTAACATATTTAAGTTAATAATTTACAAAATAAACAATTCTAAAAACGTTGCTTACAAATTTTGTGGGAAGCATAATGGTTATTTTTAAGCAACAAGAATGAAACTTAAATATATTGTATGCCTAAATACTTCCTGTTGTTTCTGATGGCCACGATTAATTATTCTACATGACACGCTGGATACTTTTTTGTTTTCAGCTAAACTGTTAGTTACTTGTTGAAAAATAACACAAACACATATTATAAGTCAACTTTTAGAAATGGCTCCTAGCTCTGCTTTCACTATAGTAGAATGTGTTTCTTTAAGTTCATGAGTCACCTTGAACATTGGTCCATGTCCAGGAATAATGTAATCGGCTATATCCAAAATATGTTCTCGGGACTGCAGCTGAAGTTTAGGATTTTCACTCCCAGCAATCTCTTTCCACAAACTTGGGTCCTTGATGTCTTCCTCACGTTCAAATAAATCCCCTATTAAAGATATGCAGAAATGCATTAGAATAACTCATTGCTCCTTCAGTTTTAATATATTGTGCATATGAAATAAAACCATTGTAGTTTAAAATGTTTATAAAAAGCATAGAAATAGGGAAATTATTGATTCTTCTCGCTTTATTTGTGACTAATATGCAAAACTTTAAAATTTTAAGAGAAAAGCAACATGTGATCCAAGTGCAGTCGATTTTTTAAAAGCTGCTCAACATGTCTAATCTAAATACAAGGTGGTGCAACATTTTCACACATGATTGTTTTTATGTTCTGTACTAGTAATCACCGATAGACATTAAAGATTTGCACATTTTGAGTTTTCATGCAGGTACATGTAGGTATATAGAGATTTTGTTTCCTTTTCAAAAATATTACCAGTACAGTTAATATATAATATAGTATGGTGTTGGCATTAAAATTCCGAAACTTCTTTACAATGACTTTAATAATAATTGCAAAAGTTAAGTATACTTAGGACAAATACAAAGAAACTTAGTCCTATAATATCAGCTATGGCAGGGGATGGAGAACAAGCTGACTAAAAGAGATGTTAGATATCTAAAAATGAATTCCCTGAAAAGTATTTTAATCACATTAACAAGTCATGTACAGATAGTTTGCAAGAAGCACTCTCAAGAATGCTGCAAACATGTGGCCTTTGAAGAAGAGGAGGCAAGAAAGTCCTTAATGAGCAAAGAGACTAGCATTTGCAAAGATATATATATATATATATCTTGGTCTTAATTAAAACAGTGGCACAAAAAGCATTGGACAGATAAGACTAAATTTGAACTGTTTGGTTCCAATGACATGTAAATTTTTGCCAAAAAGTCAATGAGAGATTGGAGAAGTGCCTTGTGCCAAGAATCATGCATGCAAAAAGGGCTGTGATAGATTGAGGTGCAATATCTGCAAATGGTGTTGGCCATCTTCACAAAATTGGTGGAATCGTATAACAGCATATTAATTCATCATGCTATGCCTTCTGAAAAGAAACTGATTGGGCAGAATTTCATACTTCAAGTAGATAATGACCCCTAACACACTTTCATGAAATGTCAAACTTATCTGGCTAGAAAACAAAAACTAAGGTGATCTCAAGTGAAAAGAATGGACATCACAAAGATCAGAACTTAACCCTACAAAAGAAAACATTCATATGTGCCCATGTATTTTCTTAAGTCTCTGATGTAGTTTTATTCAACTTTTCTTGAACTTATGTCCAGGGACTTCCTTTAGTAGAGTTGGTACTTTTGTTAGTCATGGAGTCCAACAAATCACATTAATTGTGTAATAATTATTTATAGTTTTCTGTAAAATTAATTTGCAATTAATTTTAAGGTTATTTCTATAGCAAATCAGTAACTATTTTGTACTAAAATATACTGATTATCAAACCAACCTGCTATAACAACTGTTCCAAGGTGTGTTGATTTGACCATTACACTTACATCTGACAAGGTATGTCCTGGGGTTGGAATTACTTCAAGATTATTAGCTATTTGGTATGGTATGCCCTGAAACAAATTTCATTTCATACATTCTTAACACTTTTAAAAATACATGTTTACAGATTAACAAACTTACAAAGTATTTCTAAGAAACATTTCATATGGCAATTAACCATACAGAAAAGTTGATGGAAAATGTGAAACAACAAGATAATCATACTTGTATCAGTATTTGACATATTTGATATGGAAAAAAACTATAAAATTACAAAGCTATAACACACTGATCTACATTCATGACAGCACATTCTAAGAACCATTACATTTCACCATCTTGTCAAAATAATGCATTTCTTCTGGATAAAAAGCTATAAAGCTTACTACCATTTCTAGTGCATACATTTTATCAAAACCTTCAACAATGGATGATTAGTATCACGTTAGAAATATTATGACTACCTAGACCAAAGCATTCCTTCATGTATAACTTGTATCATTTCAAAACCATGGTTACTACACAAGTTATCGTTTTCCTACACTGAAAATGTATTTCCAATAAATACTTAGCTCCTGTTACAAAATAGCTTTTTTCAAGTCTCTGATGTAGTTTTATTAAACTTTTTTTGAAGTTATGTAACTAGCCTTCCACCTCCCACTTCTGCATATCCACATGCAGAAGTGGATATTAGATCATGCAGCAGCTCTCCACCAATAGGAGCACAACACCACTCTTATCATAACCAGCACTCTTTTCACATCTGCACTCATTAGTCAAGAAAAGTTATTTTGTGAGAAGAATTAAGATATCATATCAGAAATAGTGTATACAGCACTAATGAAGTAGACCCAAAGGTAAGTGGCTAGCACATCATCCTTTCTATCAAGACTCATTTATCAAATTCCAGCTACTAACACCATGGAAACAGTCCTTCTTAGGACTTCCCCAAAGATGACGGCAGCTTAGTAGTTGAAACAAAGAATAACATACAGCTATTAATTAGGACTGAACAATGAAAAAAATATTAGCAGCTAATTAATAATAAAAATTAAGTGGCTACTAACTACAACACTTAATATCCAATCAATACAATGTTACTATATGTGAACAACATTTTATCAGTTTCAATGTGGCTTTTGTGTAAACTTTTTTGCAGCTAATGACTATTCTCATTTCTTGCAGGAATATTCCTACCTCTTTTAAAATTGCATTTGAAACTTTGATGCATTAAAAAGACAAACTGAGAATTTGGTTAGAAAATAGCAATAATTTTGTCAAATCTATAAATACACACACACACACACACAGATGACAGTTTTTCAAAATCTATTTCTTTCATTTACTTATATCTTTTCATTTTCTTATTTTTCATTAAATAATCAGAATTTTGAAACATAGAATTAGGAAGGTCATTTTACTGGTAACGTTAGTCATGATGTTATTATTCTTGTTTTTGCAGATCCTTTGGCACAACATGCCTGTGAGTGAAGTAAGTGAGGTGTCTAATAAAAAAAAAGTTATTTGTGACATATAATCCCAATGTCACAGATATATGATGACTGAAATTTTTCTTCCATTTCAAAAGTCAATTTCATTCAAATTTTACAAACTGAAAATTTTACAATAAAAATTGATAAACATGGAGGTTTTTGGCATTGAGAATGGGGAAGATGTTTGGCTCAAAAACTCCCTGCCTTAAGGCATGTTTATATAACTGAGGTGAAGCTCGAGGAAAGTTTTTGTATTCTGAATTACAAAGTAATTATATTGTCACATTTTATATGGTAGTTTTCTTGTCGCAAATGCCTGTATTTTGAATTACAAAGTGATTATTTCATGCATGTTTTCTGTATTAGATATTTAAGAGAGAAAAACTATATACGTCGGTAAACTAAATGCATTTTCTGCAGTTAAAGCTGATTTGTATTTACTTATACTGAAGGTATGTTTAAGCTATCTTTATAGAAAGTTAAAACATGTTTCAGAAATAAAAAATTATTTAATTTTTTTCTCTATTTAGTCTGGCAGACAAAGTACTAATATACTTATAAAACAGTTTGTCTGTCTGGTGTCTTGTGATGTCAATGAAATAAATGCTGTGCTACATGAGGGTACATTTGCTAGCAATATATAATTTATGAATATTATCTGTAACAACATTGAGTAGTATCCTAAACTCATTTCATATGTCACAAATTTGGCAGTCGATGGGATAACTATTATACTTTAACGAATATACATTGGTACATCTTTTTTCTAGGCTCATTTTAAATTGGAGTTTGTTTCAACCTGAAAAAATACTGCATTTCTACACTTGCATGCCTAATAATCAATAAAAGTGTTACTATGTTTTATAATGGAAAAATAGATGTAAAATATTTGTCTTACAAACAAAGTTAAGTACCAAAATGTATGCAGTTTACCTTAATGCATACTGTTACGTATCTGCTTGTTTGTTAGTTTCCGGTATAAATTCTTTCCAGGGAACTTCAGCGATAAAAGTCCTTTCTTAATTAAAACTAGTTTATTCTTTCTCGATATAACTTTGTAATACACAGAATTTCCACAGTCACTTTAAACTTAACAACATTTATAACACATGCTATAAATCACAGTGATTCACACACTATACTTATGGTGCCTACTGGTTGCTTGACTCAATTATCTCTATCTTCAATCTATCTACATATCTATCTATTGCTGGCTTTATTTGCCAGGCTTATATACTAAAAAAGAGGGTGCCTGGCAAACACTCGGATATTCACGGAGTCCCTCGATAATTCATGATCCTTCGAGAAACTCCAACACGCATGCTTCCAGCTTTGCATGACTTTCGCTGTCCTAACACTGCCCCTTCCTTAGTATTGTTCGTCCCGAACAATAGCCACTTACATTAAAACAATAGATAATTAACAATAATTTAATTAAATGTACAGAATTTACAAACACAAAATTAAAATACAACAAAGTCTCTTAATTTTACAGGACGTTTCTTCTTCCGTACTTGTCTCCGTTTCATTGGCTTCTGCTTCACGTTGGGTTCATCTACTCCATCAGGAAATGTCCCATTATTGGTAGCAGTTACCTCAGTGGTTAGTAACTTCATTAACGGCTTCACTGTTTTCCTTCTCAAAACCGAATAGAGTTTCTTCTTCGACAGTGGCTTTTTCAGGTGACACGTCTTCAGCAGCGTCATTTC